CTCATTAGGAGAAAAGTATCTTTTAATGTAAACAACCCCCATAAAATGGGAATGAGTCTCTTTGGGGACAATGATTGGAAGATATCAACACGGATGGACGAACACGCAGAAAAACCCAGTGGACTTTTCACCCAATCAATGTATATGCTTTGCCTGCATCATAAGCCCTATAAATGATACTGTTAGTTCCTCAATAAAACAGAATTTTAGGAAGTTGGCAAACTGCGAAGTGTCAGTGTCTTACTTCCACGTGCACGTATTCTCATATTAAATTTGGCTCACTGGTAGATCACGGTAAATGGTCTGTAAGTGACCGAGTCCAAGACAATGGTTGCGTGAGAAAATCCCAGTAGATCAGCAGTTTATAAAATACTCTGCCCAAAAACCCATCTGGCACCAACAACTATGCCACCTAATAAAGTGGCCGGTGAGTGTGCGTGTATGTATGTATATATTATATATATACACGCACATACACATATATATACACACACACACACACAGTATCTCACAGAAGTGAGTACACCCCTCACATTTTTGTAAATATTTTAATATATCTTTTCATGTGACAACACTGAAGAAATGACACTTTGCTACAATGTAAAGTAGTGAGTGTACAGCTTGTATAACAGTGTAAATTTGCTGTCCACTCAAAATAATTCAACACACAGCCATTAATGTCTAAACCGCTGCCAACAAAAGTGAGTACATCCCTAAGTGAAAATTTCCAAACTGGGCCCAATTAGCCATTTTACCTCCCCAGTGTCATGTGACTCGTTAGCGTTAGAAGGTCTCAGGTGTGAATGGGGAGCAGGTGTTATCGCTCTCACTCTCTCATACTGGTCACTGGAAGTTCAACATGGCACCTCATGGAAAAGAACTTTCTGAGGATCTGCAAAAAATAATTGTTGCTCTACATAAAGATGGCCTAGGCTATAAGAAGGTTGCCAAGACCCTGAAACTGAGCTGCAGCACGGTGGCCAAGACCATGCAGTGGTTTAACAGGACAGGTTCCACTCAGAAAAGGCCTCGCCATGGTCGACCAAAGACGTTGAGTGCACGTGCTCAGCGTCATATCCAGAGGTTGTCTTTGGGAAATAGACATATGAGAGCTGCCAGCATTGCTGCAGAGGTTGAAGGGGTGGGGGGGGGGTCAGCCTGTCAGTGCTCAGACCGTACACTGCATCAAATTGGTCTGCATGGCTGTCGTCCCAGAAGCAAGCCTCTTCTAAAGATGATGCACTAAAAAGCCCGCAAACAGTTTCCTGAAGGCAAGCAGACTAAGGACATGGATTACTGGAACCATGTCCTGTGTTCTGATGAGACCAAAATAAACATATTTGGTTCAGATGGTGTTAAGCGTGTGTGTGGCGGCAACCAGGTGAGGAGTACAAAGACAAGTGTGTCTTGCCTACAGTCAAGCATGGTGGTGGGAGTGTCATGGTCTGGGGCTGCATGAGTGCTGCTGGCACTGGGGAGCTACAGTTCATTGAGGGAACCATGAATGCCAATATGTACTGTGACATACTGAAGCAAAGCATGATCCCCTCCCTTTGGAGACTGGGCCGCAGGGCAGTATTCCAACACGATAACGACCCCAAACACACTTCCAAGACGGCCACTGCCTTACTAAAGAAGCTGAGGGTAAAGGTGATGGACTGGCCAAGCATGTCTCCAGACCTAAACCCTATTTTGCATCTGTGGGGGCATCCTCAATGGAAGGTGGAGGCGCACAAGGTCTGTAACATCCACCAGCTATGTGATGTCATCATGAAGGAGTGGAAGAGGACTCCAGTGGCAACCTGTGAAGCTCTGGTGAACTCCATGCCCAAGAGGGTTAAGGCAGTGCTGGAAAATAATGGTGGCCACACAAAATATTGACACTTTTGGGCCCAATTTGGACAGTTTCACTTAGGGGTGCACTCACTTTTGTTGCTAGCGGTTTAGACATTAATGGCTGTGTGCGGAGTTATTTTTGAGGGGACAGCAAATTTACACTGTTATACAAGCTGTACACTCACTACTTTACATTGTAGCAAAGTGTCATTTCTTCAGTGTTGTTATTTACAAAAATGTGAAGGGTGTGCTCACATCTGTGAGATACTGTGTGTATATGTATATATATATATATATATATATATATATATATAATATATTTATAAATAATTTTTCTGAGGGGGGGGGGGGGGGCACTGCAAGCATAAACAAATTGGTTGCAAGTATAATTGGTCTCTTTAACACGAACGGAAGGTAAGGGTGGTAAAAACAGGCAGTTGAGCCACCGTTTCCGCCACCCTATCATCTACCTAAAACCTACCATACAGCTGTATACATGCCACAACCACAATGCTTTGGATCATGTCACAACAAAATTTAACTCAGTTTGCCAAATTTACAGCTCACCCATTCAAGTGAAAGGGGTGGCACCGCAACCATAAGCCAAGTACTAGACCCTCAGTTGTGGTTCCTTAGTTCCAATAAAATATTCTGTTCAGCAAAATATAGTAGCTTATTGCCATCCCTAGAAAAGCAATTCATTGCAGACTGTTTTTTCATAGACATACCAAGTGTGAACTTAGCCTTAAAAAAGAAGAACATGATTCTAAAAGGTATGCATACATTATTAAAGACCCCAAGATATGGTTTCACATCACCCCTTATGCAATAAAAAGGCCTGCCATGGAGAGATCAGTGCTGTACACTGCATGGTAAAATACAGTACATTCATAAAGTATTCTGACCCCCTTCACTTTTTTTCAATTTTGTTATGTTGCAGCCCTGATACTAGAGTTGTTTAAATTCATTTTTTTCTCATTAACCTAAACTCAGTACCTCATTAAAACAAAGTGAAAACAGAATTTTAGAACATTTGCAAATGAAAAAAGAAAAAACTGAAATAGTTGCCATAAGTGTTCAGAGCCTTTGCAACAACACTTGAAATTTAGGTCAGGTGCCTCCCAATTCTCTTGATTGTTGCGGAGATAGTTCTACACTTTGATTGGAGTGCATCTTTGGTACATTCAATTGATTGGACATGATTTGGAAAAGCACACACCTCACTATAACAGGCGTAACAGCTAACAATGCATACTGTATCAGATTGGAGTGCATCTGTAGTAAATTCAATTGATTGAACATGATTTGGAAAAGCACACACATCACTATAACAGGCGTAACAGCTGACAATGCATACTGTATCAGATTGGAGTGCATCTGTGGTAAATTCAATTGATTGGACATGATTTGGAAAAGCACACACCTCACTATAACAGGCGTAACAGCTGACAATGCATACTGTATCAGAGCAAAATCCATGAGGTCAAAAGGAGCTGACTGCAGAACTCAGAAACACGATTACTGCAAGGCACATATCTCTGGAAGGCTACAAAAAAAATGCTGCTGCACTGAAGGTTCCCAAGAGCACAGCAGCCGCCATAATTCTCAAATGGAAGAAGTTTGGCACAACTAGGACTCTTCCAAAAGCTGGTCGCCCGACCAAACTGAGCAATCGGGGAGAAGGGCCTTGGTAAGAGAGATGATCAAGAACCCAATGGTATCTATGACTGAGCTCCAGAGATCCTGTGTGGGGATGGGACAAAGAAGGACAACCATCACTGCAGCCTTCCACCGATCTAGGCTTTATGGCTAGGATTGATGGATCTCAGTGCAAAACACAAGGAATCCCGCTTGGAGTTTGCAAAAAAAGCACCCTAAAGGACTTTCAGACTGTGAGGAACAAGATTATTTTGTCTCATGAAATCAAGATTGAACAATATAGCTTCAATTATAAACGTTAGTCTGTAGGAAACCAGGCACTGCTCATCACCTTCCTAACAGTGAAGCATGGTAGTGGCAGCATCATTCTGTGGGGTTTTATTTTCCCGCAGCAGGGACTTGGAGATGGGTCAGGGTTGAGGGAAAGCTGAATGGAGCATAGTACAGAGATATCCTCAATAAAAACCTGTTTCACAGTGCTCAGGCCCTTAGACTGGGTGGGACAACATGACAACGATCCTAAGCACATGTCCCTTAGCCACTCCTGTGTTGTTATGGCTAACTCTGTGAATGTTTTAATGTGGCCCAGCCAGAGCCCTGACTTGAACCCTATTGAACATCTCTGGAGAGACCTGCAAATGGCTGTCCTCATCCAACCTGCCTGAGCAGTGAGAGGATTTGCAAAGAAGAATGGCAGAAAATCCTACAATCCAGGTGTGCAAAGCTTGTTGCGTCATACTTAAAAGGGCTGTAATTGCTGCTAAAGGTGCTTCAACAAAGTAATGAATAAAGGGTCTGAATACTTGCGTACATGCGATATTTCATTTTTTTCTATTTAATAAATTCACAGACGTTTTTAAAATTCTGTTTTCACTTTGTCATTATAGGGTACTGAGTGTAGCTTAATGAGAAAAAAAATTTATTTAAATATCGGTAGTATCAGGCTGCAACATAATAAAATTGAAAAAAAATGAAGGGGGTCTGAATACTTTATGCATTCAATGCATGCATGGACTTTAGCTTTTAGTTAAAAGTCAACAATATTGCTCTCTGCAGCCTTAGTGTCCACTCCTCCAGACTATGTTTAATAATTCCAGTAATTGAAATATCGCTCCAACCTCTCCCCTGACCGCTAGTGTTATCCTGCAACCTTGTCCAACAAAAAGGCCATAGGATCCGATTATTGTTTTGTAATTGTACTGTCTGCCCTTATGCTGTAATGTGCTGCTACATAAATCCTGTATAAAAATAATATTTGGACTTAGTATTTACTGAAAGTCTCACCACTCCATCACAATCTGTGCAGGAAAAATGATTGTATCAAAGTAGCAATTCAGGGGTCTTGGGAAACATGACAAGTCAGAAGAAGACATAGGCTTACATTTTATTTCCTATCCAATTTGTGCCTAAAAACTATACTGAAGAAATATTTTAACTATGAAGAATTTAATCAGCTCTTTTCTGATAAATCAGTTTTGCATAAGAACAAGTCACATTATACTTACTTATAATCTTTAAATCTTCCCATATTTCTATCTTGTTTGTCGGTCTGTATTAGACAACAAATAAATTAAGGTTAAATAAATATGGAAACCACAAATCGATTTTTATTGAATACGAATTCAAACAAAATGGTTTTCCAAGCTGAAGGGACTGTGGAATAATAATGGAACTATTGTGTAAAACGAATCATACAAACTCTATAGCAGACACTTAAATGTATCCAACTGTGGGAAATTACAAAAGAACATATATTGTTCAAAGTAATCAGAGGGTTTAATCAGTTAAACCTTTAATACATTCTTGGTTTGATTCATGCTTGGGCATGATCCAGATGTTTGGGCCCCAGCCACAAATCCACATGTGGTGAGTGACAAAAAAGATATATATCATATCATAGATCTATGCATTTGTTTAGCTCCTTATTTTTACAGTGATTATTGGCACATTGGAACTAAAACAATCATGGAAACACTATATAAAGGAATGGGCAGCTGGTGTGGACCACTGATGTGGTGCGGAATTTGCAGCGTTTTCTGTGCGACTTCCGCACCGCATCAGAATCACACCCCGTTCATGTGAACCGATGCGGATGTGTATGTTAACAACATCCTGAAATCGGTCCACAAAACGCGGTGCGATGTGCAGAATCGGATTGCATAGGTGTGAATACCCAGGCGATCCGATTCTAGCGTGGACCCAAAAAAGGGTCCTACACCTCTTTGGTGCGGTGTGATTGGAGCCATACATAATGTGTGGCTCCAATCATACCGCACACAAATTGCATGTGATTTCAACAGGAATGCGGTGCGGTTCCTGTGCGAATCACATGTGATGTACCGCACCGCATTAGTGTGAACCTAGCCTAATAAGTCTAAAGAGAAAAAGCTTGCATCATGAAATTGGTATTAAACCCCAAAGCAAAAATGTTATATATTGTAGCTTACCAATTCTTATATATGTGGTGGGTGCACTTGTTTTACCAAGCTGTCCAGTAAAACTGGCATTTAGAGGGATGAGACAGATTTGCAATGATCAGACTTAATTCACTGATGTAAAACCTTTATACCAAAGGGAAAGCAAAACAATTGCTGTAATTCCCTAGTCTCCAACATGCACCCAGCAGGCTATTGGGCACTATACAGATAGAGTGGCTGCGGGGTTCTGAGCACTGGAATGGTCTGTGTGCTCCAGCACCCAACACTAAAAAGAGAGACTGTACTGTGGATGAAGTTATACTGCGGGGTGCCAGTACTGGGGGCTGTTATTATAACCACGGACACCAATGGAGGCTATTATTGTGTCCTCTGATAATTTTAGGGGTTATTATTGTGTCAGTAGACACCAATGCAGGGGGTTTTTATTATTGCTCTCACAGAGACCAATGCTAGGGGTTATTATTGTACTGACTAATACCAATGCTTGGGGTTATTATTGCATCCACTAACACCAATGTTGGGGGTTATTATTGCATCAATTTACACCAATGCTGACAGTGATTACTCCATTGACACCAATGTTAGGGGTTATTATTGCGTACAATGACACCAATGTTGGGAATTTTACTGCACTCACTGACACCAATGCTAGGGGTTATTAAGGCAATCACTGACACTAATGTTAGGGGTTATTACGGCAATCACTGACACCGATGCTGGGGGTTATTGTACTACAACTATACTCCAACTTAGCACTGTGATATATTGCAGGACCAAAATTTTTGGGCGTTGAGGTGTGACACTCTAGAAGTTTTGATGGCTGCACTTGAAGCCCTCTATAACTTTCAAGTTGATTACCACTGCTGTAACTGCTTATAAGTATTAGCTGGAATTTGTTATTAATTTTTTAGTCAAGTCTCTCTAAATCAGCTAGTGCATCTAAAACTATTCTCCTTCAGATTGACAATGCTGCTATCCTGCTCCTTAATCCAGAGTGGAGACACCCTATAACAAGAAGTATGTTACTGGCTGGATCACCAGGTGTAAATAAAGCCTTACAAATGATGAATGCAGACATCATACTAAAGGATGAATAAGCTGGAACATATTAAAGCCTTGCTTTTGTGTTTTAAGACTGCTTAAAACCTTACCAAACTACCTAACACGGAAAGAAGCGTGCAACTGTCCACACCCCAGAGGCTGGGTGCTTATATAATATGCTACACTGCATTAATTTTACCCTGTCCAGGTCTAACATATTTCAAAGGTAACTGTGCTGAAGTAGAGGTACCCTATGGTGTCTGCAAATATTTGTGTTAAGACTTAAAGTCAATCCCTGTGACCCCATAATACCTCCTAGGCCCAGCCTGCACAAGTTCAACAGTGGACCCACAGGGACACTCTCCATGGCTGCACAAAGAAATGCAGGATTGTATCTGCTCAAATGAGCATCTGTTTTGAGAAGTATTTGTTTAATGTGTTCTTATGTGACATAATATGGTCCAAACCCGGGTTTATACTTAATACACTCCCTAGAAGAAAAAAAACAAAACACACTACTGGGCTTAAATGGCTGTTTGACCTACAGTATACATTGAGAAAACACTTCAACATGAAATTTAGTCACATTACACTGGCTTATATATCTATATATATATATATATATATATATATATATTTATATATTGTGAGAAAGCAAACCAATGAAGCTAAACATGAATGAAGCATAACAGTATGAAGCTGAAGGTCTTGTATATGTGGGCTTTAGCTTGTATATGTGCAGTGTGTACAGGTACTCACATTAAGCAGTGTGTGTGTGTGTGTGTGTGTGTGTATATGTATGTATATATACACACACACACAGTGAAAGAAATAAGTATTTGATCCCCTGCTGATTTTGAATGTTTGCCTACTCACAAAGAAATGATCAGTCTAAAAATCGAATGGTAGGTGTATTGTAGCACTGAGAGACAGAATAGCAGCAAAAAATTTCTAAAGAAATGCATGTCTAACAAATTATGCACTGATTTGCATGATCACGAGGGAAATAAGTATTTGATCCCCTATCATTCAGCAGGATTTCTGTTCTGGCTACCAAGTGTCTTTCATACAGGTAACAAGCTGAGAATACAAGCAGTCTCTTAAAGGGAGTGCTGCTAATCTCATTTTGTTACCTGTATAAAAGACACCTGTCCACAGGAGCAATCAAACAATCAGATTCCAAACTTTCCACCATGGCAAAGACCAAAGAGCTGTCCAAGGATGTCAGGGACAAGATTGTAGACCTACACAAGACTGGATTGGGCTACCAAACTATCGTCAAGTAGCTTGGTGAGAAGGTGACAACAGGTGGTGCAATCATTCGCAAATGGAAGAAACACAAAACAACGGTCAGTCTCCCTATGTCTGGTGCACCATGCAAGATCTCACCATGTGCAGTGTCAATGATCATGAGAACAGTGAGGAATTATCCCAGAACTACACGTGAGGATCTATTCAATGATCTCCAGGCAGCTGGGACCACAGTCACCAAGAAAACAATTGGTAACACACTACGCTGACAAGGAATGAAATCCTGCAGTGCCCGTAAGGTCTGCTCAAGAAAGCACATGTCCAGGCCCATCTGAAGTTTGCCACTAAACATCTGAATGATGCAGAGGAGAACTGGTTGAAAGTGTTGTGGTCAGATGAGACCAAAATCGAGCTCTTTAGCATCAACTCAACTCGCCGTGTTTGGAGGAGGAGGAATGCTGCCTATGACCCCAAGAACACCATCCCAACTGTTAAACATGGTAGTGGAAACATTCTGCTTTCGGGGTGTTTTTCTGCTAAGGGGACAGAACAACTGCACCGCATCAAAGGGACGATGGACGGGGCAATGTACCGTCAAATCTTGGGCGAGAACCTTCTTCCCTCAGCCACAGCATTGAAAATGGGTCATGGATGGGTGTTCCAGCATGACAATGACCCAAAACACATGGCCAAGGCAACAAAGGAGCAGCTCAAGAAGAAGCACATTAAGGTCCTGGAGTGGCCTAGCCAGTCTCCAGAGCTTAATCCGATTGAAAATCTGTGGATGCTGCTGAAAATTTGAGTTCCCAAACGTCAGCCACCAAACCTTAATGACTTGGACAGGATATATCAATAAAGAGAGGTACTCACATTAAGCAGCAGAGTATACGAGCAAAACAAACAACCCAAAAACACTGCTCAGTCCAGCAACACAATGACATCAGCACAGGCTCCACCCCAACATGTTTAGTCTCAGAAGGCGTTCTCAAGGAGCCTTCTGAAAAGAATCCTTGAGAACATCTTCTGAGATGAAACATGTAGGGGCGGAGCCTGTGCTGATGTCATTATGTTCCTGTACTCAGCAGTGGCTGGGTTGTTTGTTTTGCTTGTATACTCTGCTGCTTAATGTGAGTACCTCTCTTTATTGATATATATAAAAACACACACACACACACACACACACACACACTATATTGCCAAAAGTATTGGGCTGCCCCCCCCAGATCATTGAATTCAGGTGTTTCAATCACCTCCATGGCCTCCATGGGTATATAATCAAGCAACTATTCATGCAGACTGCTTATACAAACATTTGTGAAAGAAGAGGTTGCCCTCAGGAGCTCAGTGAATTCAAGCGTGGTACCGTGATAGGTTGCCACCTGCGCAATAAGTCCATCTGTGAAATTTCTTTGCTACTAAATATTCCACGGTCAACTATTAGTGGTATTATAACAAAGTGGAAGAAACTTGGAACAACAGCAACTCAGCCACAAAGTGGTAAGCCATGTAAAATGACAGAGCAGGGTCAGCACCTGCTGAAGCACAATAAGTCGCCAACTGTCCCTGCAGAGTCATTCAGCTAAAGACCTGCTGAACTTCATGTGTGTGACGCCTTCAAATTAGCACATAAACAGTGCAGAGAGGCTTCATGGAATGAGTTTCCGTATGGCTGAGCAGATGCATCCAAGCTTTACATCACCAAGTGATGCAGTGGTGTAAAGCATGCTGCCACTGGACTCTAGAGCAGTGGAGACGTGTTTTCTAGAGTGAGGAATCACGCTTCTCTCTCTGGCAATCCGATGGACATGTCTGGGTTTGGCGGTTGCCAGGAGAACGGTACTTGCCGACTGTATTGTGCCAAGTGTAAACTTTGGTGGACGGGGGATTAAGTGTGTTGTTAGTTTTCAGGGGTTGGGCTTGTGTGGGCTAGTTCCAGTGAAGGGAACTCTAAAGGCGTCAAAATACCAACACATTTCGGACAATTTCATGTTCCCAACTTTGTGGGAACAGTTTGGGGATGGCCCCTTCCTGTTCCAACATAACTGGATACCAGTGCACAAAACAAGGTCCATGAAGACATGGATGAGCGAGTCTGGGGTGGAGGAAGTTGACTGGGCTGCACAGAGTACAGACCTCAACCCTGTAGAACACCTTTAGGATGAATCAGAGCGGAGACTGCGAGCCAGGCCTTCTTGTCCGACATCAGTGCCTTACCTCACAAATGTGCTTCTGGAAGAATGGTCAAACATTCCCATAGACACACTACTAAACCTTATGGACAGCCTTCCCAGAAGAGTGGAAGCTGTTATAGCTGCAAACGGTGGACCAACTCAATATTGAACCCTACAGACTGAGACTAGGATGCCATTAAAGTTTATGTGCATGTAAAGGCAGGCGTCACACACATTTTGTCTTGCATTTCTATTTTAAATTGAATGGGATCCTTTACAAGGGGAGGGTTCACATATATTTAACCCCTTGGTGCTGGCACTTCCCAGCCCTTTAAGAAGTTTGTGATGCCAGGAAGCAGGGTAGGTTTTAGGGTCACGGCAGTCACATGATCGGAAAGGTCCCAACCACAAGTAGTGATCAGGACCTTTCCATGAGGCGCTGGTGATGGTGTTGGGAGCGTGCTCTCGGCACATCTTTTGTTTACATTGGGTACACAAATATGCGGCCCTTCGGTGTCAAAGCCCAGCCGCCTGAGAGGCCACATATTCGGCATCAAGGAGTTAGGTTGCACCGATTCATACACACATATACAGTATATGTGTATAGACATACACATTGTATAAAGGTTGACATTTGCAGCATTTCCAAGCTAGCTATATGCTTGGCAGTTTCAGTGGTTATTCATGTCACCCAATAGTGTTTCTGGTGATCAAGGCACACTATAGAGTTATATCTGCATATACAGTATGTGTAGCCAACACAAATCACCAGAGAAAATAAACAGAGGGTTTTGTAAATTATACAAATCTCTGTAAAAATGTTGCTAGTGTGAGAAACAGAACATTTTAAATGTGCTGAGCCCTGCTTGCTGCATCTTTGATGAAGTTTCCAAAAGGTGCGTTATGTACAGTTCATTGCTAGTTAATATTAAATGTTTTTAAAGCTCCCCACACCTAAAACATGCAAATGCGAAGTTCCAGAAAGACAAAGACAAATGCTCTATCTTGTGTACTATTTCTATGTTCATTGCCACCTTCTTCCAGGTCGTTCTTTGCTTCTGATCATGCACAATTTTTTTTCTATTAGATTATTTCCTTACAATTATTGTACTCATTTTTCCATTTGAACAGTCAGAATCGGCTGTTGAAAGCACTATACTACCAGATAATCCTTCCGATCGTTCCTCATACAAAATTTTTCTGCCTGATTTTCTTATAGTGTGTACCCAGTTTTAATGTCACAAGCATCCAGGTAAAAAGGACACTTTCTATATAAGTCAGTTGTTCCAGCAATGTTTTCAGATTGATAGAGAAACCCAAAATACCCAGAGCAAAAACCATATGGGGAAAACTCAAACTGTGCAGACAGAATCCCCTATACCAGTACTGCAAGGTACAGTGCTGGGTTTACCATTAGGCAAATCAGACCTGTGCCTTTAGGTAGCATGTCATCCATATAAGTTATTAGCTACACACATTTCACATCATTGACACCTGGAAAAAACTAGCCATAATGCAGAATGGCACTGAACTGACTGCACCTGCAAATTGGCAGCAGCAGGGTGAGAAAGGGTAAATAATGTAAAAAAGTACACAATCCCAGCAGGACCAACTATCAGACAAGTTTTTTCTTATTCATTTCTAGAATACAAATAATACCTGCTTTTCAGAAGACTTGTTAGGCTCTCTGAATTCAGTTGTTGCATTAAAGCTTCCTTCAAAGCAGGGAGCATTGATAAAACTAGAATGGGAAAGAGAAACATAATTCAATAATTTAATGTTCCGGTATGCCAGTTCATGGTAAAAATAAATATGAATTTTTGTGACACATACAGTTGTGCTCAAAAGTTTGCATACCCTGGCAGAAATTGTGAAATTTTGGCATTGATATTGAAAATATGACTGATCATGTCAAAAATCAGCAGATCGCTGGTGCCATGAAGGTCTCCTGCAGATCGGTCAGTACTGCTTGCCGTATGGGATGTACAGGCAAGCAGATGTACTGACAGGAAGATTCAATGAACTACTACAGCGCTACACAGTTCATTGAGAACACAAAACAGTGAAAGGCTTTTGTAGCATTTTCACGGAACTGATGAGGCCAAGTGGGGGAGCCCCACACGGCAACACTGTTTTATGTACTGACCTAGTACCTTCTCCCCGTAAAAGGGAGAGGGGGAGGAGGGTCAGCAGAATTGGGAACATGTTACATGTAAAAATGAGTAGCTGCTCCAAAGGTGAACTTATCCTTTAACTTCTTCCTGCCCAGGGATGTCCATGGATGGAGTTTCAGTGAGTATATCAGGATGATAGCTGTAGCTACAGGCATCATTCTTGTATAAAAATATGCTGCAGGCGATTCTCTTTTAGGTAGAAGTAATTTGAGTGGTTGAACAGCCACTCCATCACTTCTGCAAGTGGCGGAAGGAGGCCCCCCCCTCCCCGAGCTCCCCCCATCTGGTTGCAGACCTCTGGAACGCTGCAACTGGTGGCGACAGTGGCACTACAGAGAGAGAGAGGAACTGATGTTGTTCCTCTCTCTCTGTGACTCCAGGAACCGGAAGCGATGGGGATTTAGTCACTTCCTGTTTCTGATCTTTGTTTATCTGGCCATTAGTGGCTAAGAAAATAGCAAATCAGACTGATCTTTTTCTGATCGGCTTCATTGGAGGATAGAGGAGAGATCTGGGGTCCAATAGAACTTTATTAAAAGAATTTTAAGTACAGTAGTTTGGCACCATTCCACAGGTGTATGCAATGTTAAAGTGTGACATTTTAGGTATCTATTTATTCAGCGAAACATCATTATATATATATATATTTTTTATTTTTTTTTTATTGCATTTGAAAAACCACTGCGCAAATACCGTGTATTTTAAATTTGGTTTATATTTTTTATATTTTTTATTTTAATTTGGTTTATATTTTTTATAAATGTCTGTAATTTGATTTGATCTTGAGAAGAGTTGTGCTTTAAGTTCTGTGCATGGCCCTTTAAGGGTTTTCTGTGGTTTGAAGAGACATGCACAGGATAGTATATATTGCTTTTCTGCATATATTTATGTTTCTATAATTTTATATTTTTTTTGTGGGTATTTTTGAAGGAGAGCGGTATTGCGCTGACTCAAACCTGCAGGGTATATATATTTAGCTTTTTTTATGTAGTAGAGTGTATATGTATAATTAAATTGCGAAACACCTGTTCAATCCTGCGTGATTAAGGAGACTAGGAACGCAGTGATTGGCTGGGTGTTAAAATTATGTAGATGAAGGGTGGCATTTATGAGAGCTGTCTGACGTTCCCATTTGTACCGCCCCTTGATGACGTTGGTGTGACGAAACCAGTTGGGCGTGGCCTACTTGATGAGAGAGCCTTGCTGTTCTGTATGGGAGAGATCCGTGGTGAGCGGTAATTGTATCTCACCTTTTTTTGCAATTGAAGCTGGTGTCTGTTGGACACCTTGTTTGTGAGTTTCCTTATACCTTTTTTATTAAAGAGATAAATGAAAAAAATGTATTGCACCATTATGTTCTCTTTTTTGTCCCTGAGTGTACTGTATGCTCTCATGGAGATATGAGAAAGCGTGGAGAAGTTCATCATAAGAGCTTGGGCTGCAAAGTTCTTTGTCTGTGATTATTATTATCCGGAAGTGTCTGAAACATCACCATATCTATTTGGACATCGGGTTCATTGCTCCCAGAGCACAAGTGCTGTTGCTGGTTTATAATCTGACCAGCCATTAGCTCTGGGGAGTTCATTTAATCTTCTTTGGTGGTGGATTTTTCACAATTGGTTCAAGTCACTGAAGATATATATATATTTTTTTGGACACCAATATATATATATTTTTTTGGACACTAATTTATGTTTGGACACTATAATTATTTATTTAAAACACTAAATGTTTTTTGTTTTTTTTTGGATGATGATATACACCTTTGTATAAGTTTGTTATTAGCGCATGCCTTTTAATTAGGCAAATTCCGTGTGGCATAAAAAAATTGCAACTCATTTTATTCTATAGTGCCTCTGCTAGAAAAATATACATAATGTTTGGGGGTAATTTTCTAGCAAAAAATGTAGATTTTTACATGTACTGTATGTGAGAAGTGTCTTGGGAGGGAAGTGGTTAATAAATAGGTGTTTTTTTTCCTCCAAGCACCTTAAGGCATACCCCTGCTTTATAAATAGGCCCTTGTCTTGGATTTACCATTTTGATTTATTTTATTCACATCTGTACAGCAGATTTAACAGTTTGATAAAGTGTGGGTAGATCTAAAAAATAATGACCTGTCATGTTGCATGTTCTCTGGTTGCTTTCAAAATGATACTGCCTCCGTGCCTGAGCAATGTACTCAGCAGCTTCTCTCTCCTGGATTTCTTTAATTTTCTTCTGCGCAAACTTCCCCAGGAGATAAACACCTAGATGAAAAAAAAATGACTTAATGGATTATCTTGCATACTAACTAAAAAATATTCACATAGATTGCATGCCCCTCGCCCCCCGACTGTAAAAGTGAACTGAAATACAGAAACTGCAGTTGCTAAACGTGCTTTGTAAAAATGCTAGTTGCCTGGCTGCCCAGCTAATTTACTGATTTCAGTATTTTCTGAACAAGTACAAGAACAAGCATAAACATTAATTCTGACCTGCTTGCCTAAACCTCTATTAAAGCTGAAAATATCCTGTCTGGATAAGTCTGACATCCAGTATTTCTGAGAGGAGCCAGTTGCTCCAACACCTTTTATATCTCAATAGGAGCACTTCTGCTGAACAAAAACTGATCCTTGCTAGCTACACATATGCAGTAATCTGCCTTAGAGTTGAATAAAGCTATCTCAAGAAACCGGGGACACCCTGGAGGTGACTGCATTACCTTCCCCACTTTATTCTAGCCCCCTACTGCACTGCTGATGTAAAGTTGTTTTAGCAAAGGAATAACATGGGAGGGGGGATATTCTCCACTGGAAATTTCTGCTAATCTAGAATTCAAAATCTAGCTCCTAAAAATTCTTAAAGCAGTGCATGTTCTCTCTGGCTGATGTGCTGGCATTTTACTTTTAGCCCTTTTCTGGATGCATGTTTTAAGGAACTATCACTGTCATTACTGTACGTGCTTCCTCCAGTTTCCAACCTCACTGCAAATATAATATGACAAAGAGCTGGGTAACAGAACTGAATATGTCTGCAAGTTTTATGCAATGATTTGTAGATATACAGTGGGTAAAATAGTTTTTTGATCCCCTGCAGATTTTGTAAGTTTGCCCACTTACAAAAAAATGAAGAGTCTATAATTTTATCATAGGTGTATTTTAAATGATAGAGACAGTATATCAACCAAAAATCCAGAAAAACACAGCATACAAATGTTATCAATTGAATTGTAGTGTAAAATAGGTATTTGATGCCCAAGCCAAACATGACTTGTACTTGGTAGAGAAACCCTTGTTGGCAAACATAGGTAAGATGTCTCTTGTAGCTAGTTACCAGGTTTGCACATATCTCAGGAGGGATTTTGGTCTACTCTTCTTTACAGGTCTTCTCTAAATCCTTAAAGTGATTCTAAAAGTTTTTTTGTAAAATAACAAACATGTCTCTACTTACCTGCTGTGTGCAGTGGTCTTTCACAGAGCAGCCTGGATCCTCCTCTTCTTGGGCTCCCCGCAGGGTCTCCTGGCTCCTCCTGTCTGTCGGGTGCCCCCACAGCAAGCAGCTTCCTATGTGGGCACCCACTGCTCCGTGGACACATGGAGCCGAGTCTTGGCCTCGCCCCCTCTCTTTCCTCATTGGCTGACTGGCTGAGATTGACAGTCAATGGGGAGGCAGAAACCCATTACAGCCGAGGCTGTCATTCACATCGCTGCATCGCAATGAGGCTCAGATAAGTATTGAGGGGTCTGCGGGCACTGCTGCACACAGGTTTTTTACCTTCATCCATAGAATGCATGAAGGTAAAAAACCTTCAGCCTTTACAACCACTTTCAGGTTTCTTGGCTGTTGCTTGGCAATTCGAAGATCCAGCTCCCCGCATAAATTTTCTATAGAATTAAGGCCTGGAGACTGGCTAGGCCACTCCATGACATTAATGTGCTACTTCCTGAGCCACTCCTTTGTTGCCTTGGTGGTATGTTTTGGGTCATTGGCATGCTGGAAGACCCATCCACGACTCATCTTCAGTGTTCTGGCTGAGGGAAGAAGGTTCTCATCCAAGATTTTACAATACATGGCCCTGTCCATTGGCCCTCCAATGCAGCAAAGTCAGCCTGTACCTTTAGCAGAGCAACAGCCCCAAAGCATAATGCTTCCCACCTCTGTGCTTGAATGTAGGGATGGTGTTCTTAGGGTCATAATCAGCATTTTTCTTCCGCTAAACACGACGAGTCGGGTTCATGCCAAAGAGCTCAACTTTTACCTCATATGACCACAGCACTTTGTCCCAGCTCTTCTCTGAATCATTTAGATGTTCATTGGCAAACTTCAGATGGGCCTGTACATGTGCCTTCTTGAGGAGGGGAACCTTGCGGATGCTGCAGGATTTCAATCCATGGCAGCGTATTTTGTTAACAATGGTTTGTTTGATGACTTTGGTCCCAACTGCCTTGAGATCATTCACAAGCTCCTCGTGTAGTTCTGGGCTGATCCCTCACTTTTCTCATGATCATCCTTACCTCATGAGTTGAAATCTTGCATGGAGCTCCAGACTGAGGGCGATTGATGGTTATTTTGTATTTCTTCCATTTGTGAACAAGTTTTCTCTTTCTCACCAAGCTACTTGCTGATGGTCTTGTAGCCCAATCCAGCCTTGTGTCTTTTATACACATAATGAGTTGTCGTTAGGAGCACCTTCTTAAATTGACAGGACTAATCTGTGTACCACATGAGCACATAGGCAATCTGTGGGAGCCAGAATTTTTATTGGTTGGTAGGGGATCAAATACATATTTTACTCATTGAACTGCAACACAATTTATAACATTTGTATAATGTGTTTTTTCTGAATTTTTGGTTGATATTCTGTCTCTATCATTTAAAATACACCTATGATAAAAATTATAGACCCTTCATTTCTTTGTAAGTGGGCAAACTTACAAAATCTGCAGGGGATCAAATAACTATTTTCCCCACTGTACGAGTTTCCATTTGCCTATCTGTATTAATGACCGGATATAACTAATAAGGTAGTCATTGAGAGTAAGTCATATAAAAGAATCCTAAAGCATTGACAAGTATGCTCATTGGGGGTCAATCAATATGCAAATCAAAGCCCACAGATTGAAAATCTATGTATAGGTTCAGAAGAAGGACAACAGAATGTGAATGTGTGACTATTAAAAGAATTTTACATTAAGATTAATGATCAGATGTATGGGTGACTCATTCTCAGATCACATCTGTCAAATTCTCAGATCACATCTGTCAATACAACAAAAGTAATTTATGGAATAAAAAACAATTGGTTAAAAAAAAATCAAATAATCTGCATCCCTAAGCGGTTTTACTTCCAACAACAGATCAGACAGATGGTTTACTTGGTCTCGAGTACAAATAAACTCAACAATGAATGTGTTCAATATTGAGTTTTTATTTTATTTAAAAGTGCTATTAAACCCAAAAGCAAACATTTATTATATTGCAGCTTATCAATTCTTCGATGTAATGGCTGCATTAGTTTCCTTTTTTAGGCTTTCCTTCCATTTTCATCTGATGATCCAGCCAGCAAGTCTGTTGTTTTTCACATCACAAACTCTCCAGCAGAATGTATCAGTTTACATGGATGAGACAAACCACTTAAAGTGGAACTTCACTCTTTAACTCAACATTGACCATTTGTAATCCTTATACTGCTAGCAATAGTAAATGTCATACATCCCAGGGGTCTTCAGGAGGGAAGGAGGGGCTTTCTCAGCTAAGCACACCCACCTGCCTTTACCCCTAAGCTAAGGGCAGATGAATTCCAGGAAGTAAATGCTACATGAATCATCTGCTCAAGATGGCCAAAGCCAGAAATGCTACGGAGTGTTTTTCAAAGTGATTTCTCAGCAAAGAACACATGAGGACATGGATGGATGGAGGAGTTTGCTTTGAACACTAAAAAGTAATTAATTAAGTAGTGTTTTTGTTTTGTGGTGTTCAGATACAGTGTACTTCCACTTTAAAACTGGCAGGGGTGAATAAAATGAGCAGCTTTCATTTGTTCATGCAAAACCTTTTTCCCTAAAGGAAAAAACCTGTTGCTGTAACTGATTATAAAGTGTGAGCTGGAGTTTGGCTTCACTTTTAGTGGTTCTAAACCTGCAGATACATTAACACTACCTTTCCCCAGATGGACAATGCTACTGTCAGCTATGCCTCCCTATGCTCGTTCACTAGGCTAAGTGAAAATTCCTTCATTGTTTGTATTTGCAGGCATTACGACAGCCATGGCATATATATGAACGCAACTGAAAAATTCTTACAGCAGGATACTGCCCAATCCCAAAGTTCAGCTATTGCTTAAAAAAAAAACTGAACAGAAATTAAACTTATTTTTATACAGTAAAAAACATTTGGGATACTACTGTTAGTGCCAACACTAGGAAAAAATAGACCACATAACAGTGAGAAAGAGAATGTCTAAATGACATGTGACTCCATTAAACATGGGGAGCTTTGATTGGAAAATAATTTCTGTAACAAAAATGCAACCATGCCACTTACTGATTTTTTTAAAAAAAAAACTAAAGTTGTTTCAAATAAGTTTAAAAATAAAATGACTAACCTAGGTACTACACACAATTTATACATTTCGACAGAATTCTTTTTTTTTTCCATAGATTCTTTATTATTTCTCCCAAAGAAAATAGTAAAGCAACACAGAAAAAGTGGTAGCAGTGGTCATTGCTACAAATGTACTGCACCATACCCTAATGTATGAGCTCATAACAAGAACTTACCTCCTGCAAATGCACCAAAGAAGATAAATTTTTTCTTGTGACGCTTCAAGAAATTCCAGACAGACAACATTGCTATGTTAAAAGGTCTAGAGTGGAACAAACAAAAGAATAAAGTAAATTTCAAGGTAGAGAAAATCATGTTGTTTTATGGTGCATTAGTAAGGTTACAATTAATTCTCACTTATTTACACATCAAATTTAACTGATGCCCATGCATATATACTGTGGCAGGGCAGCCACTATTCACTGGATCACGTACATGTACATGATCCAGTATTAGGAGGCATGCGCCCCCCCATCTGTGCTGCCATTTGCTACAGCACAAACCGATCAGCAGGTCCTGCTCATTTGACTTAGTAAACATAGGACTCTGTTGGGTCATTCGCTAACAATACACAGGGGTCTGTACACTGAGCAGAAATGGGCTGTGTCAATTAGTCAGTTCCTACCCAGTGTCAGATTGCTCGCCACACTATCACAGTCCCACTATAAGTCACTGATCACCGCCATCAGTAGTATAAAATGTGTGTGTATGTATGTATGTATGTAAATATATATATATATATATATATATATATCTATATCTATAGATAGAGATATATAGATATGTATATCTATATATATGTAGAACATATTCTGACCTAAATTTATGAAGAAATTTGATTGTTTTTTTATTTTTATTGTTTATGTTTTACAGCAGAAAGTAAAACGTTTGGTCTTTTTTCGTTTATGTAATAAAAAAATAAAAAACCCAGGGGTAATCAAATATCACCAAAAGAAATCTCTATTTGTGTGAAGCATAAAATTATATAAATTTAATTTGTGTACAGTGTTGCATGACCGAGTAATCACCAGTTAAAGTAGAGCAATGCCAAATAGCAAACAATGCCTCGGTCATGGGGGGGGGGGGGGTGAAATCTTCTGGAGTTAATTGATTTGTAAAGCAATTACAGGAAGTGGATTGACAATGTTGTATGTAGAGCATCTACAGTGAGAGGCAATAGCAACACTGGTGTATGTACAGCACCCACAGTAGCAGTGCATTTGCTGGTGTATGCACAGTGCCCACAGTGAATAGCAGGGCCAATGCTGCTGTATGTGTAGCAGCTCCAGGAAGTGGCATTACGTTGATGAATTCAAAGTATCCACATCAAGTGGACACGGCAATGCTGGTGTATTTACAGGGCCCACAGTGCATGGCACTGCCAATGCTGGTGAATGCATAGTGCCTACAGTGCGTGGCCATCACACTGTTTCCGTACGCATAGTACCTGCAGCAAGTAGCAGTGCAAATGTTGGTGTATATATGGTGCTTGCAGTAAGTGGTAGTGCTAATACCACTGTATGCACAGCTCCCATGAGCAGTGGTAGTACACATGCTTGTGTATGCACAGCAAGTGGCAATATGAATATATGCACAGAACCCATAGTAAGTGGCAATGGCAATATTGCTGTATGCACAGCATCTATAGTGAGTGGCAGTGCCAATCCTGCTGTATACACAGTGATGCCAGTGAGTGGCAGTGCCAATGCTGCTGTATGCACAGTGCTCACAGTGGCACTATTGTATGCTCAGCACCCACAGGAAATGGGAGTGCCAATGCTTCTGTATGCTCAGCACCCACAGGAAATGGGAGTGCCAATGCTTCTGTATGCAAAGCACACACTGGCATTTGCAATGGCAATGTTATTGTATGGACAGAGCCCACGATGAAAGACAGTGCATGTGCTGGTGGTTTGCACAGTGCTCACTGTGAATGGTAGTGGCAATGCTGCAGTACATAGAGAAACTACAGGGAATGACAGTGGCAATGCTGGTGTATGACACAGTAACTGTCAGTGCACATTCTGATGTGTATACAGTACCTGCAGTAAATGGCAATGCTAATACTGTTGTGTAAACAGATCCCCCCGGTAGAGGCACTGCACATACTGATGTATGCACAGTACCCACTGCATGTGGCAGTAGCAATCCTAGGGTATACACACAGCCCACAGTAACTGTCAAAGGCAATGTTGCTGTATGCACCAGCACTTGCAGTGAGTGGTGTTGGCAATGCTGGTGTATGCACAGTGCCCGCAGCAAACGGCAATGCTGATGTGCACAGTACCTGTAGTGAGTTGCAGGGCTAATACTGCTGTATGAACCACTCCCGCATGTAAAGGTAGTGCACATATCGGTGTATTCAAAGCATCTATAGCAAGTAGCAGCAGCAATGCCAGTGTACGCATAGCACTTACAGTATGTGTCAATGCAAATGCTGCTGTATGCATAGCACCCAGATTAAGTGGCAATGCAGGCATATGCACAACATGGCAATGCTGGCGTATGCACACCACCCATAATACAGTGAGGAACAGAAGTATTTGAACACCCTGCGATTTTGCAAGTTCTCCCACTTAGAAATCATGGAGGGGTCTGAAATTCACATTGTAGGTGCATTCCCACTCTGAGAGACAGAATTAAAAAAAAATTTTTTTAGGAAATCACATTGTATGATTTTTAACCGTTTCAATACCGTGCAATTTTACACCTTCCTGCCCAGGCCATTTTTCAGGTTTCAGCGCTCTCACATTTTGAATGACAATTGCGCGGTCATACAACACTGTACCCAAACTAAAATTTTATCATTTTCTTCACACAACTAGAGCTTTCTTTTGGTGGTATTTAATCACCGCCGGGAGTTTTTATTTTTTGCTAAATTAACAAAAAAATGACCAAAAATTTTGAAAAAAAAAAAAACACATTTTTGTTTCTGTTATAAAAGTTTACAAATAAATAATTGTTCTTCATAAATTTAGGCCGAGATGTATTCTGCTATTTTTTTTTTTACATACTGTCACCAGTGCAGTACAGCGTCATCATATAACTGGCATGGCGGTGAACAGGGACACTGACTGGTGACAGTACGAAAAAAAAACAGATCGCACTGCTGCGCCGCTCTGCATTAGCGCAAACTGCGCATGTGCGGGAGCACGCCAAATGGCGTGCACCCGGAGTGCAGAGACAGTTTTGAAGCCGCCAAACGGCCATTGGCCGGGCGGCTAATGGTTAAAGAATTTATTTGTCTTGCACTGCTGAACATAAGTATTTGAACACCTAAGAAACAGCAAGAATTCTGGCTCTCAAAGACTTGTTACTGTGCCTTTAAAAAGTCCACCTCTACTCCACTCATTAATCTAACTTAGTAGCACCTGTCTCTTTAAAGACACCTGTCCACCTAACAGTCAGTCAGACACCAACTACTACCATGGGCAAGACCAAAGAGCTGTCAAAAGACACCAGAGACAAAATTCTGGACCTCCACAAGGCTGGAAAGGGCTATGGGGCAATTGCCAAGCAGCTTGGTGAAAATAGATCAACTGTTGGAGCAATTGTTAGAAAATGGAAGAGGCTAAAGATGACTGTCAGTCTCCCTCGGACTGGAGCTTCATGCAAGATCTCACCTCGTGGGGTAACACTGATAAGAAAGGTGAGGAATCAGCCCAGAACTGCAAGGGAGGAGCTGGTCAATGACATGAAGAGAGCTGGGACCACAGTTTCAAAGGTCACTGTCGGAAGAACACTACGCCGTCATGGTTTCAAATCATGGATTGCATGGAAGGTTCCCCTGCTCAAGTCATCACATGTCCAGGCCCGTCTGAAGTTTGCCAATGACCATCTGGATGATCCAGAGGAGGTATGGGAGAAAGTCATGTGGTCAGATGAGACCAAAGTAGAACTTTTTGGTCTAAACTTCACTCGTCGTGTTTGGAGGAAAAAGAAGGATGAGTTGCATCCCAAGAACACCATCCCTACTGTGAAGCATGGGGGTGGGAACATCATGCTTTGGGGGTGCTTTTCTGCGAAGGGGACAGGACGACTGCACTGTATTAAGGAGAGGATGAATGGGGCCATGTATTGTGAGATTTTGAGCAACAACCTCCTTCCCTCAGTCAGATCATTGAAGATGGGTCGTGGCTGGGTCTTCCAACATGACAACGACACAGCCAGAATAACCAAGGAGTGGCTCCGTAAGAAGCATATCAAGGTTCTGGAGTGGCTTAGCCAGTCTCCAGACCTAAATCCAATAGAACATCTTTGGAGGGAGCTGAAACTCTGTGTTGCTCAGCGACAGCCCCGAAACCTGACAGATCTAGAGGAGATCTGTGTGGAGGAGTGGGCCAAAATCCCTGTTGCAGTGTGTGCAAACCTGGTCAAGAACTACAGGAAACGTTTGACCTCTGTAATTGCAAACAAAGACTTCTGTACCAAATATTAACACTGATTTTCTCAGGTGTTCAAATACTTATGTTCAGCAGTGCAAGACAAATAAATTCTTATAATACAATGTGATTTCCTGATTTTTTTTTATTCTGTCTCTCAGAGAGGGAATGCACCTACAATGTGAATTTCAGACCCCTCCATGATTTCTAAGTGGGAGAACTTGCAAAATCGCAGGGTGTTCAAATAATTCTGTTCCTCACTGTAAGTGGCAATGCTGGTGTATCTAGAGCACCCATAGTAAGTGGCAATGGCAATGCTGGTGTATGCAGAGCACCCATAGTAAGTGGGAATGCTGGTGTATGCACAGCACCCATAGTATTTGGCAATGCTGGTGTATGCAGAGCACCCATAGTAAGTGGTAATGCTGGTGTATGCACAGCACCCATAGTATTTGGCAATGCTGGTGTATGCAGAGCACCCATAGTAAGTGGTAATGCTGGTGTATGCACAGCACCCATAATAAGTGGCAATGCTGGTCTATGCAGAGCACCCATAGTAAGTGGCAATGCTGGTGTATGCACAGCACCCATAATAAGTGGCAATGCTGGTCTATGCAGAGCACCCATAGTAAGTGGCAATGCTGGTGTATGCACAGCACCCATAATAAGTGGCAATGCTGATCTATGCAGAGCACCCATAGTAAGTGTCACTGCTGGTGTATGCAAAGCACCCATAGTAAGTGGCAATGGTAATGCTGGTGTATGCAAAGCACCCATAGTAAGTGGCAATGGAAATGCTGGTGTATGCAAAGCACCCATAGTAAGTGGCAATGCTGGTGTATGCAGAGTACCCATAGTAAGTGGCAATGCTGGTGTATGCAGAGTACCCATAGTAAGTGGCAATGCTGGTGTATGCAGAGCACCCCATAGTAAGTGGCAATGCTGGTGTATGTAGAGCACCCATAGTAAGTGGCAATGATAATGCTGGTGTATGCAAAGCACCCATAGTAAGTGGCAATGCTGCTGTATGCAGAGCACCCATAGTAAGTGGCAATGTTGGTGTAAGCAGAGCACCCATAGTAAGTGGCAATGCTGGTGTATGTAGAGCACCCACAGTAAGTGGCAATGATAATGCTGGTGTATGCAAAGCACCCATAGTAAGTGGAAATGCTGGTGTATGCAGAGCACCCATAGTAAATGGCAATGCTGCCATATACAGAGCACCCAAATTAAGTGGCAATGGCAATGCTGGCGTCTTTACAGCACCATAGTAAGTGGTAATGGCAAAGCTGGTGTGTGCACACTGCCCATAGTAAATGGCAATGGCAAGGCTGGCGTATGCACACTGCCCATAGTAAATGGCAATGGCAAGGCTGGCGTATGCACACTGCCCATAGTAAATGGCAATGGCAAGGCTGGCGTATGCACACTGCCCATAGTAAATGGCAATGGCAAGGCTGACGTATGTAAAGTGCCCATAGTAAATGGCAATGCTTGCATGTACAGTGCACCTACAGCAAGTGGCAATGCCGGCGTATACAGAGCACCCAAAATTAAGTGGCAATGGCAATGCTGGCGTCTTTACAGCACCATAGTCAGTGGCAATAGCAAGGCTGGTGTATGCACAGTGCCCATAGTAAGTGGCAATGATGGCGTATACAGAGCACCCTGATTAAGTGGCAATGCTGGCATCTTTACAGCACCACAGTCAGTGGCAATGCCTTATGCGCAGTGCCTGTAGTGAGTGCTGGTGGCAATGCTGGTGGAGGTACAAGCTCTCAGTAGGTTGTATGCAGATATACTCCTGGCAGGTTGCAGACACGTCATGTATGGTGCTGTGTAAGGGGTCACACTGTCCGTCTCCCAGGGACTGAATGCAGGACAACATCCTGGTCTCGGGGCAGCTTTTCACCATGTCAGGTTACAGGTGAGCATGGGGGAAAGATGTATGCAGATTTGCGGTATTGCCATATCTTATCCAGCCATGTAACAATACCTTCTCTGTGGATTCTCTGCTCTCCCTCCCCTGACTGGTTAATCTGGTATTCAGCAGGATCCCTCTTCCACTACTCCACTGTGTCTCTCTCCTCTCTTGCCTCCTACTGCGCTCCAAGCCCCGTTCTGGTGGTGACTACTTCCGCGTTCCACACCTCCCTCTCGTCTTCCAGCTGCAGGTCTGTCTCTTCCCTCACCCTATAATCTTGTGCAGTTTCAAAACAACACTTCCTTTATGTATCTACGTATTGCACCACAGTTCTAATTTACCAAGCAGGATGATAACGTATTTTCCTGTTTCCTTAGGAGGTAGAAGTAGAAACAACGAGAACGAGGCGTGAAATGCAGAGAAAGGCAGACGAGACGTAGGGATTCTGGAACAACGAGGTAGTGTCTGTTATATCCTGTAGAGGCGAGCTGGGGGTGATAAAAAGACCACGTGTGTGTATGTATATATGTTTCTATAAAAAGAGGGAGGGACTTGTAGTGCTTGTGGAGTGTGGCCAGGGTATGTACCTTATATATTTGGGAAGAATGGAGCCAGAGTGACAGCCCATGATGTGTTAGAGAGGTGTGTGCTGCTTCTAATGCAGAGTATGAGAAGCTCACAGTGTGCAGTGAAATCAGATTAAAGCCGGCCACACGTGGATCGAAATTCGCCTGTTTCAATCTTTGTAAATCTATGTAGCACCCTGGCTGTGCAGGAAACAATCTACCGATCAGCTTCTGCACAACCAGCCTGATGGGTTTTCCCAATCAATCAGTGTCAATCAAAGCAGGAGTGATTCCCCCATCCATATTCAGTGTGTGGTAGGGGGGAACGCCCTCCATCATACACTTCTCTTCTGTGCATCTTGCCCTCCTCTCCTGTCCATGCTGCCCTCCATCATGCCCTCCTCTCCTGTGCATACTGCCCTCCATAATTCCCTCCTCTCCTGTACATGCCCTCCATCATGCCGTCCTCTTCTGCGCATACTGCCCTCCTTTCCTGCACATACTACCCTCCTCTCCTGCGCGTACTGCCCTCCTCTCCTGTGCACTGTGCCATCTTCTCCATCATGCCTTCCTCTCCTGCACATACTGCTTTCTATAGTGCCCTCCTTCCTGCGCATACTGCCCTCCATCGTACCTTACTGTCTTGCGCATACTGCCCTCCTCTGCTGCGCATATTGTCTGCCTTCATGCCCGCCTTTCCTTTGCCTACTTCCCTCCATTGTGCCCTCCTTTTCTTTGCTACTGCCCTCCATCATGCCCTCCTCTCCTCTGCCGACTGCCCTCCATTGTGCCATCCTCTTCCTACTGCTCTCCTCTGCTTTGCCTACTGCCCTCGTCTCCTGTGCATAGACCTCTCCATCGTGCCCTCCTCCCTTGTTCATACTGCCCTCCATCATACCCTCCTCTCTTGCGCATACTGCCCTCTATGGTACCCTCTCCTGCGCATGCTGGCCTCCATCGTGCCCTTCCCCTGGGCATACTTCCCTCCATCATGCCCTCCTCTCCTGCACATACTGCCCTCCATCATACCCTCCTCCCAGGTGCATACTGCCCTCCATCGTACCCTCCGCCTGCGCATACTGCCCTCCATCATACCCTCTGCACTTCTCTCCTGCGTATACTGCCTTCCATCTTATCCTCCACACTTTGCACTTCTCTACTGCACATATTTTACACTAAAACAATTCTTTAGCATTGTTTGCACTATCCCCAACTTTGTCTGTTTTGAAAAGGGAAAAACTTGAAATATAAGGTAGCATTCTGTAGCTCAGGATGATGTGTTCAACCCAGACTGCCATAGGTTCTACTAAGCAGCATAGCATGGATCTGAAAACAAAGGCACTGCCAGGACCCATTGGGGTTTATTTACTAAAGCTGGAGAGTCCAAAATCAGACTCCCTTCTTCATAGAAACCAATCAGCTTCTAACCTCAGCTTGTTCAATGAAGCTTTGGCAATGAAACCTGGAAGCTGATTGGTTTCTATGCAGAAGGGAGTCTGATTTTGGACTCTCCAGCTTTAGTAAATAAACCCCATTATGTCTGAAAATGATTTGCTCAGCGGTTAAAAGCAGATCATTAAAAAAAAAAAAAAAAAAGGAAAATTTGACCGCGAAAGGCTTGTAATGCTTCTCTGTTGTTTTAGCATTATATGGGATATTTTTGCATTTGGACATACAGTTGTTATTTTTCTTATGTTTTCAGTGGTATTGCTGTTTAAGAAGTCCAAATGGATACAACCCATTATTTGGAGGAGCCATCAGAGATGACTGAAGAGATGAAAATTTGGATGGAGAAGGCTTTTCAGATGGTAGGAACAACTGCAAAAGAAAATGTAACACCTCTCCAATTAACACTCACGTACTTTATTCAGATTTCCTATGCATGTAATGTTTCCTCTGTGTTCATAAAAGAGTCATTTTATCTTATTGTTTTGTTTACCATGAATTTAATGGACAATTACTGGCTACTTTACAGTATTTGCTTTAGTATCTCATCTTTTCCCAGTACTGGGAAGCCCTTTTTTGCCTAAAGATTAACCTTCATTCTTAATGGCATTGATTCAACAAAAAAATGGAAATGCTGGAAATCTACGTTTTGGCCCATGCTGACTCGATAACATCAACTTTACACCACCAACCTGAACCAATGACACAACACAGGATAGAATCATGGATTACCCAATCTTTTGAAGAAAAAACTGAAATTTATCAGAAAACCAGTGTTTAGTGATTCATGGCCAGTAAGCTTCAGTTATCTGTTCTTAGCTATGCATGGTCTTCTGCTGCTGTGGTCAGTTCTTCCCAAATTTGGTTTGATGTACATTTAAAGATGCCTGTCAGTATATTACTGTTCTATAGAGTTGTTTGTTTGTTTTTTTTTTGTTTTTTTGCAAAGTCATTGACTACTTGTCACTTTTCACCACACTGGCAATTCTCTACTCTTTACAGCAGGGTTGTTGAATTCCTATTGCCTGACGCCCAGGACATGCAGTGCCGGGCAAGAAGTTATTTTTTACGTTTAACCCTACTGCAGGCAAGCAGCAGGGTTTAGAGCCGTCCTCCCGTAGGCTGTCCCTATCGACTAGCTGGCGCTTCCATCAGCTGATAGTAGAGGTGGCAGTGGTGGACGGATCAGTACCTTCTCAACTAGGAGAAATCGGGCAGTCTCCAGTGTACTACTTCTCCCTGACCCCGAGGTGGAGTCTGCAGCGAGGTTCGCAGTGATTGGGTGGAACTTGAGGAGGGTGTGTGGCAGGCCTTGGTGTTGATCACTCCTTGCCACAGGTGGGCTGATTTGAGAGAAGGCTGCAGGACTGGTATGTGTACAGTGTAGCGCTGAGTGGAGAGATAGTGATCTGGAAGCACATGCTAACACATTCATTGCTAGAAGATAATGAGTAGACATAGTTAACCCTTTTTATTGCACGCAGATAAGATCCCAGTTGGAAGTGCATGATTAACCCTTTCAGATATCTGTTGGAAAGGTATGATTAACCATTTCATTGCTAGCAGATCCCTGGTGGAAATATGAATTTGCATTAGGGATCAGTTAGCATTGAAACGGTTAATCATACGCTTCCAACACATATCTGAAAGGGTTAATCATGCACTTCCAACTGGGATTTCATCTTTCACCAATAAAGGGGTTAAGCTTGTCCAGTCACCAGAAATCTTCTAGCAATTAAACTTTCATTGCTAGAAGATCTCTGGTGATGGTACACGATTAACCAAGTAGTGGAACTACCAGGGTCTCAAAGGTCACACTTTTGCGACCTGGCCCTGGCATTTTGCCACCATGGGAGGGGCCCAAGACAACAGGAAAGGGGCCTGCTGCAGGACCGTAATAAAGGGCCTTGGGATCAGTGGGAAGGGTCCCAGGACCGATGGAAAGGGCCCCAGGGGTCCTTCTTGGTTTTTTGCAATGGGGCCCTGAAGGTTCTAGCTACACCTCCAAGAGGCAGATAAAGACCGCAACCACTCTGTCCACCTCTATGACATAGGAAACAGAGATGACCATACATCACTTCCAGTTTCCCTTGCCAATTTAAAAATGGAAAGCTTTTGATCACACCAAGGGCAGAGGAGGGATCTGGGTCTTATTGACCCCAGATCTCTCCATAAAGAATACCTGACACTGCCTGTTGCCGTCACAAGGGATGTTTACATTCCTTGTGACAACAATAAAAGTTATTAAAAAAAAAAAAAATAACAGTGTAAAAAAAAAAAAATTACATTTTTTTAAAGCATCTCCGCCCCCCCCCCCCCCTGTGCTCGTGCACAAAGGCTAACACATGCATCAGTCTTGCATGCATGCAAACAGCAGTCGTCCCACACATGCAAGGTATCACAGCGATTGTCAGATCATGGGCAGTAATTCTTGCTCCAGAACTCTTCTGTAAATCTAAAGTGGTAACCTGTGAAGGCTTTTGGATAGTATGGATAATAAACTTTACTTAGTTTGTTGCCGTTGCACGGGCAGGCACATTTTTTAAAGTGTGAAATGTTGGTATCTATCATCATCTTTACTAGAAAATTGGATTACATATTGTTATTGCACAGGTGGCAACCAATTACGGTACCACGCTTGAATTCACTGAGCTCCTGAGAGCGACCCATTTTTTCACAAATGTTTGTAGAAGCAGTCTGCATGCCTAGGTGCTTGATTTTATACACCTGTGGGGGTAGTGTTTACCTGTTTTAATTGCAGTATCATTTAAACATTATCTGTTTAGGCCCAAGATGCTTTGGACAATGGTGAGGTCCCTGTTGGATGTCTAATGGCATATAACAATCAGCTTGTAGGACAAGGAAGAAATGAAGTCAATGAGACAAAGAATGTAAGTTTTTACATCATGATTTTGTGGGTTTCATGTTGGACAGCTTAAAAAAACCCTGTTGTCTAGACCATCAATTTTAACAAAAATATTCCAATAAGGTTATATGTACAGTTCTAGTGTTCTTAAATGCACAATAGTAAAATCAGTCTGTATATGCAGTAAAGCATGCTTGTTATACACACTGTGGAACCTAAAGGGTTAATCCTTCTTCATTGTGTAATAATGCTGTTTGATCATGACTTCTCTGATCCTCCCTTTCTTCCAGTGTCCCCTCTTATCTCCTGATAAGACATATCATGTGAAGACACTGCACATGCTCAATTTGGTGTATATTGCTAGAGAGGTGTTTTTTTTTTATCTTGATCAGCACATGGCCAATCAGCACTGCCCAGACAGGTCAGGGGTTCTGCATCCTCCCAGAGAAAACTCCTACAAACTTTAACCAGTGCTCTGCTGAACACTGATAGAGGCCACAGGACCTCTCTAACTGCTGATGAGAAAAGGTATTTATATTTACTAAAATAATTGCATTTCCATGTTCTGTGTACTGTTGGAGACCAGATATAGTGAATGCAGGGTCCTGGGTTTAGTAACACTTTAAAGTCATTTTAAAAGCCAACTGATTACCTTAATGCATTTCCTGCATTAAGGTAAAAAATTCCCCAACAACTGTCCACCCCAAAACACTTATCCTCTTAATGATCCAGAGCTGTTCCAGCTTCAGATCCTCTCCCTTCACTTTTTGGCATCACAGGAGACATCGGCAGTAGCAGAAGCGATAGGCTCATGTTGGTATCAGTCAAAACTTGTAAGGAAGAAGTAGGGGGGGGGGGGGTGTCTATGGACACAGACTGTCTCTGGAGCAGGTAAGTATAGCCTATTAATTTAATTAAAAAAAGGCTTTATTATCACTTTAATGTATTTTATGCATGTTATTTAGCTGTAAAACCTTCCTTGTGTAGACGTCCATAGGCCATGAGACTGCTTCTGGACTTTTCCATCTTGAATGTGACCACAGGTTCAGTGGAATCAGGGTGTCACACTATAGTATTCTTCTTCATTTCTCCTCCGGCTGCTATATAAAAGATTACAAAGGGAGGGATGGGGGATCTGGTCCAGAGTAGTAGTAGTAGTTAGAAAAGTGGTAGTGTTAGAAATATATATATAATCATTATTTTCCACTGGGCTTTATATTTGCTATAAGAATATAGTGAAAAAATGTGCCCTGGGAATTATGAATTTATTTTGTTGAAACAGTTTTCATTCAGCGTGTGATACCAGTGTCAGAGCCACGTTGACTGGAAACTCAGGTGTAGTCTAAGGCTGGGGTGTTTTGCCCATTTGTGCACTGTGTGGTGCCGGCTATTCTTAATGACAGTCCAACACACCTTGACAACAGGTGTGCATTGCAACACAATGCACTGCTGTGAATTGTGATGAGCTGTATTACAAAAAAAATAGTATATGCCCCTTTTTTGGTGTGGTAGCCCATTCAAAGGAATAGGCTGCCCTAGTACAACGCATATTAAAACGCAGCTTACTGCATGTGTGTTGCCATCCAGCATAAGTGGAGGAACAGGGTGGACACTTCTGTACTGCATAGGTGAAAGGGAGTTTTGTCAGATCCTGCTGAGCTGTGTAAGAGATGAACCCGCTGCTGAAAGAGAGGTTGGGCAATGGAAGAAATAGGAAGGGCTTTTGATGATAATTTGGCAGACTGTGTAGAGTTAGACTGGCCAGACATTATACAATTTTCTTGTACAATTTTCCTTTAGATTTACCAAAAAGCATATAATATGTGGTCAAACCTAAACAACACTTTCAATTGTATCCAATTAGGCAGGCCCTTGCACTATATAGTTGAAGTTAAATCTAAAGGAAATTGTACAGAAACTGTACAGAAAATTGTATAATGTATGGCCAGCCCAAGGGCCCATTCTCTTTTCAATGTGGTTTAATATGAGGTATGTGCTTTCTACATGTGTTAGGAAATGGCAGCCAAATGTATTAACCCAATGCAAATCCAAAACACATGCATTGCAGCCCACAACACACAGTATGGAGTCCACCATGTGGTAAGGCTAAGGTATGATTTTGATACAGGAAATGCAGATTTTTTTTGATGGGGAAAAATATATAATAATTCCTTATTGTTTGGTAAAATTTAAAAGATGATGTTACACCAAGTAGATGGGTATATTAACATAAAACAGCGCTTTAAAATTGTGCGCACCCGTGGAATGGTGACAAACTACAATACTTAAAAATCTCCATAGGTGGCTCTTTAAAAGTTTTTACAGGTTACTACTTTAGAGTTACACAGGAGTTCTGGTGTTACAATTATTGCACTCACTCTGACATTCGCAGCATTACCTCATACGTGTGGTGTGATTGTCATTTACATATGTGTGCGCATTCACATTTATGTGGAGGGGCGCTTTAATTATTTTTGATTTTGTGGGGGTTTTTTATTTTTGTTACACTGTATCTTTTTTTTTTTTGTTTTCCTTGTGATTGCTGGGACAGGCAGTCTTTACTGAGAGATCTTGATCTATTAGACTTCACTGCCCTCAAAAGCAACAGGAGATAAAAACGGGCACTTCCCCGCTTACATGAGAGAGATCTGTCTTGTTTACATTCGCAGATTTCTCTCCTGTCAGGTGCTCTGCCTATAGCCAGGTCCCAGCCATGAGTTGCTGGCCGGGACGCGGTGATTGACATGTACAGGGCCAATGACAACATGGGTAGGTGGGCATACACGTGCCCCCTACCCGGAAAAGCTGTATCCTGTATCTATGCATGATTCTGCACAGAGCGGCTGCCCTGTAGCAGTAAAGCTGCTATAGGGCAGATGCCAACTGGTTAAAGTAGAACTTTACCTATAATTGCTAAAAAAAAAATAATGTTCTTTAGCAAGGAAAATATATTCCACATTAACAAGTATGCTACCAATATTAGTGTGTGCTGTAAATAATTGTTAAAAATTGTTCTTTAGCAAGGAACATATATTCCACATTAACAAGTATGCTACCAATATTAGTGTGTGCTGTAAATAATTGTTAATAATTGTTCTTTAGCAAGGAACATACATTCCACATAAATAATTATGCTACCAATATTAGTGTGTGCTATAAATTGCCTCCAGCATTGATTCTGTTTCTTCTTGCAGGAGGCTGCCATTTGGTTGCAGCCTAGATCCTTGAGCACCAGTAAATATTCAGGGTGTCAGTAGATCGGCCTCTACAAATTCGGCACAGTGCCTAAAAATAGAGAACAATTGAGCATGTGCAGAGCAGGGTGGGACAGTGTATTACTGGATTTTAAACAGTATAGGCACTCATTTTTAATGTTTTACATAGCTATATACATGCAAAAGGGGTCAGCCTAAAGTGATCTAGCAGGAATTCCACTTTGTTACTCATCCCCTTTAAATTCCTTCTCTCCTGGGAGTTGAGGAAAATGACTGCCAAATATTCAACTTTTATACAGTTTATCAATACCTATCCTGCCCCATGGAACCAGTTATTTACCCATTGGGTGCTGCCATCTCCACTCTTGCATAGTCGTAGCCATGCTTTCTGCCAAATCCTATATATCAAAGGTACCTCTGCTCTTTTTGGTGCAGTGACTGCTCTTGGCAGTCAGGGAGAGTGGTATATCTGTAGTCAGGGAGAGTGGTTAGAAATAGAGGTTAGAGCTTATCTGCTGACCTTTGACAGGTTGTCAAAATTTGAACTCAAGTAGCAGTGCTATTTAGTCTGCTTAGGCTTTACATTTTAGGAAAATTACATTTAAGTCAGCTGACAGAGTGGATTATGCTGAAGGTACTATTATGTTTATGTGATTGGGAAATGGAATGGTTCACTTTAAGAATATAGTGAAAGATTATCTTCTGATTTTATTTTTATCTTTTTGTAAATTCACATGCAGCTTTCAACAACACCCCTATTTGCTCCTTTCGTTTACATAGTAATTCTTCATTTTCTCTAATAGCTCAAATATACATTACAGTCATTTATGAAAATTGGTAACCATACCAACCAGATATTTGTTTAATGTTCTACACTGCTCGGGAAGATGACAGAATCTGTTTGGTTGCTATGGAAATGCCAACTATTTCTATGCTTTCTTTTCTGTTTCCCGTTATAGCTGAAGTAGGTATGCTTGACTCACACATTCAGACTTGTTACATATGCAGTGTAAAGTGCTATAACCTTTTAGCATCAAATCAGATTTCACTTAACTGGAATAGGATCAGCGGTTGGTTGCTATGGATTTGCACACTTTTTCTTTGCTTCATTAAAATGCCCAATTGTCTTAGTTTAAGTAATGGTAATATACAGTTACCCAAAGCAGCCCATCAAGATTGCAGACGTTCATTAGTAAAGTAATGAGAGTAAAATTCTGATTGATTGCTGTGGGTTTTGGAACCTGCGTTAATTCTCAAAGGTCACCCTATTGTTTTTTTTTTTTGTTTGTTTTTTTTTTAATTAACCTCCCTGGCGGTATTCCCGAGTGTAGCTCGGGGTAAAGTTTCAGTACCACAAGCGGTAACCCCGAGCTACACTCGGGCTTACCATGCGGCGCTGCTCCGTGATCCCTCGATCACTTACCTTGTCCTGCGCTCCTGCGATGTCCCTCCTGCAGTGTCCCCGGCAATGTAATCCGGCGGATGCCGGCATCTGTCATCTGGGTTCCGTCCCCTGTGAGCGTCAGGACGTACGGGGGACGGAACGGCGGGAAATTTTAAAATGACAAAAAGTGACATTCACTAAGATCACTAAAATCACATAGTAAAACTGTATCAAACCATTTCACATACATTTTGTCCCTAGTGCTTTGTCCTGTGCCCTGCCTGCATTTTTACTGTTCTTTCTGCCTGAGAAACGTCCATGGTGTCCAAAAAGTGTCCCTTTAGGTCAAAAGCGGTTTTAGACCAGCTAGAGAACAGTGATAGTAAATCAGAACCACTTGCAGAGTTGAGTGATAATGATTCGTGGGGAAATTCGTCAGACACTGAAAACGATTTTGCGACTTTGCTCAGTGATGTGCGAACTTGGCGCAATATTTTAAATTTCAGTGTTTTTGGTTTCATTATATTATTGAATTAAATTTATTATTATATTATTTTTTTAGGATTATTTATTAAATTATAATTTATGATTTCGTGTTTCAAGTTTTATCCTACCCGGGATGTTTACTAGACTCTTGTTCGGACAGATTTCAGTGAGTTATTCCTAAAAATTACAGGCCTACAATAAAAAAAAACATATTTCCATGCAAAAAAATGTACCGCTTTGAGCACAGAAATATGGACATAATCATACCGCTAGGGAGGTTAATGTGTGGTAGGGTTGGGTTGATGTAATTGATTACAGGGTTATTTTCTTTGGTAAATTTGCCAGCATTGAAAGCTCAGAGAAAATAAAGTTTTTCTGATTTTAAACTTCCTAACTAAGTTTTTCTGTTACAGGCTACACGCCATGCAGAAATGGTGGCTGTTGATCAGGTTCTGGACTGGTGCAGGATGAATGAAAAGAATTCCGCACAGGTTTTTGAAAACACAATTTTATATGTGACAGTTGAACCATGTATCATGTGTGCTGGGGCTCTGCGCCTGCTCAGTATCCTTCTTATTTAACTGGTATGTCCCATGTAATGAGATGAATTACATGCATAAGAAGCAAAATAAGTGTGCTGTGCATATGTACAGAATGATTAAGTGGTAAGGCTTTTGTAATCTTCTTAACTCCTTAATCTGTCTAGTAGTAATGACAGAATTAGTACATGAAACTTATTACAGAGTATTAGTGGTCAGAACTAACCAATGCATAAATATTCCCAAAACTATGTATTTTTTATATTCTAGTATGTGTTTTTTTTTTTTTTTTTTTTTTACAATGCAAGCTACCTTTTGATATTTGTAGGCATTAAAGTGGACATCCACACTAAATTACATTCCCCCCCAACAACATGTAAATCTGATTTATTTTTTGTCAGTTTACCTCTTTTTTATCTCTTTTTTTTTTTTGTTTCCATTCTTGCCTAGGTGAGAATAACCTGTATTGCTCTTAGTGATATGCATGGCACACATCCCAAAAGGCATCTGCTTACTCAAAGCAGAGAATAAGAGTGAGCTAAGCAGCATGTAGTCAGAGGCGGCTTGCTGAACCTGCAGAGACAGCCACCTCCTGATAACATAATAGAAAAGAAGATGGTAGGGCAGGACCCTGGTGGTGTAAGCGGAGAAGTGGGATGCAGCAGGACAACACTGGATCTGCTGGGTGGGTGAGTATCTGAATTGAGGAAAGCCCTGCTTTGGATAAGCAGAAAAAAAATGGTGAGTGAGGTTCCTCTTTAAGCAGGCATAGCTACGTTGTAATATAAAAAGGAATATTACATTAAAACGTATAGCCAAAACCCCTTATGAGATAAAAAGTGTTATTTTATGTCTACCTCAAACAGCAACTTTTTTTTCTTCCTGCTGTCCCTGATACAGACCACTGTTAACATCAGTTAGAAGCTACCAGTATTTTTAGGAACAAAAACCAGTCACCTAGTCATTGCTGAATAACTTTCACATACAAAATATCGCAGAACTGGATTGTACATGCGATTGTTTCCGTAGATCTGAACTTTGGTGAACTGAAAAAAGAAATTGATAAAGTGGCAAATAATACACAGGAATAAAGATATTGCATAGGATAGGCTTTTGTTTGGTGTTTTTAGTGATGCTCGTTGCTTTTTTGTGTGCCCACTCTGTTTCTTTTTTACTGGAAACAAAAGTAAACAAAAAAGTTTAGCGGCAGCAATAAATATCAAGTCATAAAAATGCTTCACTGATATACCTGTCAAGAGCATGCCCTCAGTATTTATGTAGAGCTGTTTTGTGTGTATGAACCCTAATACCATAAAGTATTTATTTTCCCTCCTTAACAAAGAAATATGAATTCCATTGGTGGTATATGGTTGCCACAATGAACGATTTGGTGGATGTGGGTCAGTTCTGAATGTGGCTGCAGATGACATTCCAGCCACAGGGGCAAGTTTTAAGGTAAGGGGATTTTTTTTTACTGTTTTATATACAAAATCTTGAGTTTTAAAGTGATATGAGAGGTTCAGTTTTGTTTAAAAAAAAATAAAAAAATTGACAAACATGTCATGCTTACCTGCTCTGTAATGGTTTTGCTAACTGTTTTATTTCTGAGACTCTGATCCTATATGAATTTAAGATAAAAACAGTTTGGTTGATCTGGAAGTTTTAAGCACCACACCCTAATATTGTCAATGAAGAAATATATTGAAAACTCAATGAGACTTTTAAGGTGCTGAAATAAAATCCACAGAATCTAATTAAAACTACATATGAAATAACATGCAATTTTTGCTATACCATAACATGGACTGTACATTATAACTTATACAAAACATACACACCCATTTTCCGAAGAGTTTCCATTGATAAAAGGGGAGTAATCTTTATCTGATGTTATTTACTATTTTGCTTCTTAGCCTGGGTTCACACTGATGCAGTGCAAAATTCGCAGCATTTTCTGCGTGAATTCCGCTCCGCATCACAATCGCACCCCGTTCATGCGAACCGCTGCGGGTGTGTATGTTAAGTTAACAAAACCCCGAAATCAATCCGCAAAACGCGGTGAGATGCGCAGAATCGGATTGCATGGGTGTGAATACCCATGAGATTCGATTCTAGTACAGAACAAAAAAAGGGTCCTGCACCTTTTTTGGTGCAGATACAGTGTGATTTGAGCCACACAAAATGTATGGCTCCAGTCGCATGCCATCCAATTTGCATGTGATTTGCACAGGAATGTGGTATGAACCCAGCCTTAAAGTGATATCAAAGGTTTTTTTTTTTTTTGTTTTGTTTTTTTAATTACAGTAACAAACTTGTGGTTTTGCACAGAGCAGCCCTGATCCTCTTTCTTCTCGGGTCCCCCAATGGTGTTTCTGGCTTTTTCCCCTTGACCAGTGCCCCCAATAGCAAGCCGCTTGCTCTGAGGGAACTGGTGTATACTCGCTCCCAAGGCCTGCTCTATGCATCCATAGGACACATCGAGCCATGGTTTGGCCTGCCCCCCACTCTCTCCTCATTGGCTCTCTGGCTGTGATGGACAGCAGTGGGAGCCAATGGCTCCTGCTGCTGTGTCTCAGCCAATGAGGAGAGAGACCTGGGACAGCTGAGGCTCCCGTGCACACCGCTGAATCGAGAAGGGGGTCTGGGAGAGAGCTGCACACAGGTTTTTTTTTTTTTTTACCTTCATGCATAGAATGTATGAAGGTAAAAAAAAAACTTCCGCCTTTACAACCGCTAAAACCATCTAATGTACTTGTATCAAAAAGGAAACAGAACTCATGTACAAGTGCTGAAGAACTGATCTTTTACTAGTCAAAAAAGACCATAAAAAAGCATGTAGCAAAAGTCATTCTGTGATACGAATATTGTGATCTTCACCAAGGACAGCCATGCATGAGGGAGGAGAAGATCTGGAAAGTTATCAAGGAATTTTAAAGAATATGTGAACCCTCACCTTGTAAAACAACCCATTAAGTTTAAAATAGAAATGAAAGACAAAACACTTGAGTATACAACACATTAAATTTTTTTTTTTAACTTTTCCATACAAGTACAGCCCAGGCCAAAAGTTTTGAGAATGACACAAATATTAATTTACCATCAAGGAAATGTGCAGTCATAATTGCGTTACACAAAAAGGGATTCGCAGACAAGGATATTGCTGCTACTAAGTTTGCACCCAAATCAACCATTTATCAGATTATCAAGAACTTCAAGGAGAGAGGTTCAATTGCTGTGAAGAAGGCTTCTGGGCGCCCAAGAAAGTCCAGCATGCGCCAGAACCGTCTCCTAAAATTGATTCAGCTGCAGGATCAGGGCACCAACAGTGCTGAGTTTGCTCAGGATTGGCACAGTGAGGCGAAGACTTTTGGAGGATGGCCTGGTGTCAAGAAGGGCAGTAAAGGAGCAATTTCAGGCTCACTCTCCAGGAAAAACATCATGGACAGACTGATATTCTGCAAATGGTACAGGGATAGGACTGCTGAGGACTGGGGTAAAGTCATTTTCTGTGATGAATCCCTTTTCCGTTTGTTTGGGGCATCTGGAAAAAACCTTGTTCGGAGAAGAAAAGGTGAGCGCTACCATCAGTCCTGTGTCATGCCAACAGTAAAGCATCCTGAGACCATTCATGTGTGGGGTTACTTCTCAACCAAGGGATTGGGCTCAATCACAATTTTGCAAGAACACAGCCATGAATAAAGAAGAGTAAAAAAACATCCCCCGGGAGAAACTTCTCCCAACCATCCAAGAACAGATTGGTGATGAAAAATGCCTTTTCCAGCATGATGGAGCACCTTGCCATAAGGCAAAAGTGATAATTAAGTGGCTTAGGGAACAAAACATCGATATTTTGAGTCCATGGCCATGAAACTCCCAGACCTTAATCCCATTGAGAACTTGCGGACAATCCTCAAGAGGCAGGTGAACAACCCCCCGCCACACACACAAATTTTGACAAACTCCAAGCATTGATTGTGCAAGAATGAGCTGCCATCAGTCAAGATGGGGCCCAGAAGTTGATTGAGAGCATGCCAGGGAGAATTGCATAGGTCTTGAAAAAGAAGGGTCAACACTGCAAATATTGACTCTTTGCACAAACTGAATGCCATTGTTATTAAAGACTTTGACACTTTTTTGAAATGCTTATAATTATACTTCAGTACACCATAGTAACATCTGACAAAAAGGATCTAAAAACACTGAAGCAGCAGACTTTATGAAAATATTTGTGTCATTCTCAAAACTTTTGGCCAGGGCTGTACGTTAAACAGTAGGCATATATCAGGAATATGAAATGTTGGGTTGACATTTTGTTTAATGGCGAGTTATCTTAAAAATCTTAGGTGTTGCGAAAAGTAAACTGAACTTTAGACCGGTAAAGTTTGAGAGTTGAACTAATTATAGCATGAAATGACAGCTCAGAGCAACAATGTTTGACCCAACTAAGATCTAATATTTCTGCTCATGAACAGGCCAGGTTTTGGCAATGCTCCCTGTTATGATGAGGAATAAGTGATATTATTTTGTATAATTCATATGATTTCAGGCTTTCCTCACTTTGGGGTCAATTCAATAAAGGTTACCACATGCGATATGAAGGTCACGTGACTCATTTTTTCGGAAATATCCCATGAGATAATACAAGAGACCATTCATCAAAGTAAAATATCAAATGTGAGGTAAATATGGTAAAGATGGACAAAAGTCCATCCAGTTCAACCATTAAAAAAAAAAAAGTTATAATCCTATATCCACAGTTGATCCAGAGGAAGGCAAAAAAAAAACCCCAGCAAAGCATGATCCAATTACAGTTCTGAAGGTTAAGTGCTTTCTATTTGTAAAGCAAATATTCAGTAAATATTAAATAAAAGAAAATACCCCAACATCACACGCACGCAGGCTGCTGCTGATCTGATGCTACTTGTTTATGCCACTGTAGCTATGATCAAAACAATTTTTAAGTTTAAAGGGCAACTCCAGTTTCGTGGAAATTTAGAAAAAAAAAAGTAATAAGATAGCGTATACAGTTGCAACACAAGTCATATTGTAATTGAATGTTAAAATTACATTTCACTTTCAATCTGCAGTCTCTGTAATAATTGTAAAATGTAATGCAATACGGCTAAACTGAGGTGTTCTGTATACAGATGGTTTGTTGAACGCCCCCCAGATACATAATTTCCTGCTTGTGTGATTGGCTTACTGATTTTCCCAGAAGTCAGCACTAAGATACAAGTCAGATTTTGAACATCCCCTGCTACAAAAATGTCATTTTGGTGAGATACACCCAATGGAAAATCACGTCTAAAGAGGTGAAGACCCTGCCACTTTCCTCATTAGAACCCTACAGGTGCAGCAGCTGATTGATAATTATAAAACCACTGCCATACAGATTCACTGTGCACATGGACACAGTTTTTTTTCTCCAAAATAAAGGTAAGAATCTGCAGCAGCTTGTTAACCACATCCGACCAGCCACTGTAGATATGCCAGGAACACGCTCATACTCAATAAACCTCCATTGCTAGTATAGTGTCTGAACAGATAAATATCTTGGATCAGATCAGCACTACACCAGCGTTCACATTAGTATAGTGTCCCCAAAAACGCAGCATTAGCAGGATCAGCCCCGGCACCTGCGTTTAGCCCCCCTACGCTTACCCCCCCCCTTCTCCCCCAACAAGTGCAGTGCCAGTAGGTCACTGCCACTTGATACATTGCACACAAAACTGCAGTGTTCGCAGAATTAGGCCTGATCTCTGTTAGCACTTGCCGGTAAAAATTTTGATGACTCTCATATGCAACAGAGTGCCAGTACTAGTGCCACGCTACCTTTTGTTGAACTGGCGAGCACCAGCAGCCTAGTACATCCTGGTCTTTCACATACCAGCACTGCAGTATCACTTGGTGACGGGGCGAGTCCCATAAGTGCAGTACAAACTGGTGCGGTGGCGAGCACAAGTATTGTCCCGCAACCACCAAGAATTCGCACATAGGCCCGTAGAGCCCGTAGTATCCATCTGGATGTGCTTTCAAATCCCGATTGGCAGCCGACAAGTTCTGCAGCACCCGTACTTCCCCCATTCACTGCCCAAACCCAGAATTCAGGTGGAAACAGAAAATGTAACTACCCTTGATTTTTTGGAGCTGTTTTTCACGGAAGATCTGTATACATTGATTGTGGATCAAAGCAATTTATATGCACAACAATTTATTGCCACCAGCCCAAATTCAAACCTTGCCAGACCATTCGCATGGAAAGCCATTACGGTTTCCGAATTTACATTTTTTTTGGGGGGCCTAACCCTCAACATGGGCATTACTAAAAAAAATTAATTGCAGTTGTATTGGCCCACAGACCCGATTCATCATATGCCCATGTTCTCTGCTGCCATGGCCAGACAAAGATATGAGACTATAATGTGTTATGCATTTCAACGACAATACACTCTGTCATCCTTGAGGTGACCCTGAATTTGATGGGCTCCACGAAATTC